CATGGCACAGCATTAACCTCCTCTGTAGCGCAACGTCCATTGGCATCCAGATATGGCTCTACCAAAAACCAGGCTAAGGACAGCTGTGCTTGACAGTTGCAGTCTAAGGGCTAGTTTAAAAGGTGTGTTGATCTGCAAACTTGCGAGAACAAAGCAATGCTCGCTAATGCACTTATAGCATTTATGACATGTCTTTTAAGCATTGAAAAGGCATCAAGAATGCTTGCCAAGTGCCCATGAAAGTGTTGTGTTTCTAGGGGGAAGTGCTTAAAGGAAAGTGATGTAAAGGAAAATATATGCTTTGAGGTGTGTTTAGGTTGTGATGCAACAGCAGGCATTTTTGTGAATTCACTGCAAGATAGATTTATATACAGTACTTTGGTCTCTTGGACACTTGGCTTGGTCTGGCTCAATTTTGCTGACCCAAAAAGCTTTGCTTAATAATTCTCAATGTCCATGCTCCTGTCTGACACTGTCAGCATTGCTGGCTGGTTGATGCTTTTGCCTGCACACAGAAGCAAATTGTGTTACCACACAGCGGCTTTGTATAAACATGAAGTGGATGGAGCTGCTCTGTCCTAGTTCTCTATTATTTCTCAGTGCACTCTAGGATAGAGAAACCTCCACTGCCTCTCTCACACTAGGCTAACACTTCGTAAATGCTGAACAAACATGCTATAGGTGCCATTAAGATGCAGTTATGGCACTTTACCATTGAGATTAACCACTAGCCTACAGGGCACTTATACCCCCTTCCTGCCCAGGCCAATTTCCAGCTTTCAGCGCTGTCACACTTTGAATGACAATTGCGCGGTCATGCAACACTGTACCCATATGGAATTTTTATCATTTTTTTTGACAGATAGAGCTTTCTTTTGGTGGTATTTAATCACCTCTGCGTTTTTTCTTAAACCAAAAACCACAGAAATTTTTGAAAAAAAAATGTTTTTTCTTAGAATGTTATACATTTTTGTAAATAAGTGATTTTTTTCTCCTTCACTGATGTGCGCTAATGAGGCTGCACTGATAGGCTGCACTGATGGACACGGATAGTTGGCATTGATGAGGCACTGGTAGGTGGCACTGATGGGCATTGACAGGCATCACTGATGCGCCTGATAGGCAGCACTGATGGGTGACACTGAAAGGCAGCTCAGATGAGCACTGATATGTGGCCTTGATGTGCACTGGTAGGCACTGATATGTGGCACTGATGGGCACTGGCATGAGGCACTGATGGACACTGACAGGTGGCACTGCTGGGGCTACACTGATCATCAGTGACCTGATGATCAGTGCCCATGTCCCCTCTGCAGAAAGCCGATTACCGTCTCTCCTCTCCTCTCGAGCTGTCAGCGTGACAGCTCGAGAGGAGAGAAATGCCGTTAACCGGCATTTCCCTGTTTACATGTGATCAGGTGTGATTGGACATAGCTGATCACATGACCGAGCCGACATCTTCGGCTCTTTCCATGATCGGTGATCCGCTGTGTCCAAGGGACACAGCGCACCGCCGATGGCCGCGCGCTCCCTGAGCCGCGCATGTGCAGTGAGAATGGGAGGACGTCATATGACGTCCTCTCAGAACGAGAGAACTACCTTGCGCCTGTTATAGTACTATATGGCGGGGCGGGAGGTGGTTAATGGAAGTGGCTGACACAGGTTGATGCCTCATGAAAGCGACATGCTGCTTAATTTTTAACACAATGCTACCATTCCTGTGTGTAACTGCACCATGTGGTGCTCACTGTAATATCCATGGCAGGCGTTGAAAGGCAATAAATGCCGCTTGAGCACAGGGTATACATGCACATGCGAACAAGTGCTATGAGACAAGCTATAGCAGCAACGAGACTTGATTAAAAAGAAAAATGTTGAAAAAAAATGTGCTAGCAAACACAGGTTTATCCTTTTCATAGCAGAGCTGAAAATACCCACTCCTCTAGGACACAAACAAAAAACAGGCCTGGTAGTGAAAGGGGTTACCCTGGACTAGCCTAACATTTTTGTTTGCCACTGACAAATACTCCAATAAGTGACAATATAACAAAGTTTAAAGTGATATTAAATCCATTTGTATATGCTTTGACATATGTGTAATGAAAAATAGCATTAACATCATGGTCCACATAAAACAATCTGAATGATTCAAAATACATTTTTTTTTAGATGTTCTGTAATCCAGTCACATCATCATTTCCAAATTTATATGCAACTCAATGGGTAATATGTGGGCAGAGCTCATTCCCTGCTTGTGACATGTCCTGCATGCATCACTGCTTGATCCTGTTCCTTGCCTGGGGGTCCCAGCGCTGAATGGCACAATGACAGATACATGCTATATGAAGGGGGGGAAAATCGATCTTAAAAATAGATAACATTCTTAATAAAAACTATACATGTCGTCCTTGCTTAGTATAACAATTGTTCGGTCACATGAAAACGATTATCTTCTGAGCCACCTAACGTGACACCTTTGGTTTTGTTGGATAGCTGAAAAACTGTTATTGACAGTGGCTTCAACTTGTCAGCAGCAACATGTGCCACTCCTGAATGTGTTCTTCTGAAAAATAGGCAGAAGTGCACAATCAGGAGTGTCACATGGGACAAGTGACAAGGAGAAGCCACTGTCAATTATGGTTCTGGAGTGGTCCCACAAGACTGCAGGAGTTTCACGTGGGGCAGGTGACAAAGAGAAGCCGCTGTGAGTCACAGTTCTGGAGTCTCCCCACAAAACTGTAAGTGTGTCATGTGGGGCACCTGAGAAGATTTAGTTTTCATGTGAATGGATGATAGTTGAGCAAGCATGACATGTAGTTTATTTAAGAATGTTATTTAAAGTTAGATCATTTCTTATTCTCAACAACAGTGATCTGACTCGCTGAAGAGAGCTTTGCTATCAGCTACAATGTTCAAGCCCCCCCATGATATGCAGTAATGTCATGTGGAGCAGTTGGGGGAAGAGAAAGCGCAGGACTTTCCCAACACTGAAAATGGAGCAATGCATATACCATACCTTGCCGATGCCCCTGAAATCTGGAAATCGATGTAGACACCGCTACTTCAGTGATCTCCACCTACTTTTGGGTCTCACATCGAGCGACTGCACCCCTGCTTACAAAACACAGGAGGTTAGCCACTTGGCACAAGAGCCATTCAGAAAATGTTTTGCATTTTTTGAATGAATGCAAAGCATTCTCTAATTGGACAAGGTTTAGAGGCAGAGCGAAGATGGGAGCAGCTGATCTCTTTTGTCCACAATGTTTTAGGCCATCCACTGAACACGGGACCAGGTATCCACTTCAGTAATTTTCAGCTTCCAGGGATATTGTTAGGAATGGCTTATATATCGATACAGTTGTCCAAGCTGGACCATTGTAACTATGTAGTATATAGCCATATCTGGAATTCTTCTTTAATGACATTTTAAGACTTCCCATGTCCCTCAATGAACAAGAAAAAAATTAGTCTACATGGACAGTACTGCATTTATCTGGCTAAAGCTCAAGCTACCAATATAAGCAAGAGCAGGATGTGGGCCCTGCTGTTTACTAAGAGGCTATGAGCCATGTGGACTTTGCTTCAATACACAGAGGCCCAAAACCTTTTGGGAAATTTCCTTGAAGTGAACTCTCACGGACCTCTGAAGGCACAGGCACTGTTAAGTAATTCACCCTGAAAGAAAACAGATTATGAAGTGGAGTTGCAGTCCTAACAGCACCTGTCTGTTTACATTAGAAGGTGAAATGTAAAAAACTAAAGCTTTTCAAAATGAAAAGCAGTTTTTCAATCTTTGGACTCATGGGCAACATTTTTTTTTAAAGCTTTTCTGTGCCATAACGGTCAACGTTAAAAGGCAAAAAACAGCTCTAACCATTTCCAATAAAAAAAAACTTGCATCTGATTTGCTTTTGAATCGGATGCCAGTGCACAAGTGCCCCAAAAAATAATTCCATTTGCAAAAGTTAAGCAAACAATGGAAACATTTCCCAATGCAATAAAAGGAATCAAAGACAAGGTTGTCATTCTCAAAAAAAAAAAAAAACCCTTCAGAATTGCCTATAGCAATGTGATGGCATTGCTTTTTTCTAAACACTGTATCAGTAAATGAAAGGAGAAATGTTCATTTCATACTGACAACAAAAATCAATTTGACTTCAGTTTTTCATAAACATGTCCTAATAGATGAAACACCAACTTTATGATAATGCAAACACAGTCTATTTTCTTTCAATATTATTCCACTAAAATAAAAGAAAGTTAAAAAAAAATAAACACACACTCAAACTAAATAAAATATACAAAGACCTGATAAAACTGAATGTTATCCTTGCTATAGGTTGGTCTTTTAACTGCCATACTGAATAAAATAGATTTTTCAACTGCTGATGTCAATCACAGTTTACATCCCAGATACAGAATACTCTTTCCTAAGTTACAAAACAAGCGGTTATAAAACTCGCCAGCATTCAGCATTTTGAAATAACTCAAGACACCCCTTTGCAAGAAAGTAATAAAAGCCTCAGTCACACCATGAAAATATCTGTTAAAACTGGGTTAAAAAAATGTGCCTACCTCTATTATCTTTAATGGGCATGATGATGATAAAAAAGAAACAAAAAAAGAAACAGACAGCAATACCACAATGTAACATTTATAAAAACAGGCATTTTTGTATGAAATGCATAAATCAGCAAAGATATTCCAGGCTCAGTTGGCAACAGTGAATAAACATTGCATTTCAGCAACAGAAGTGGTTATGTGCATTGTCACGTGTCATGTGGACTTACCACTGTGGATAACTTAATCACACGGACTTTTGGCGCTATATGAGCTCCTTCTCCAGAGCTGCTGTTTGACCTCTGCATGACAGTTCTCTTTGTGCCAGCAAGTCTCTGCTCTGGTGGCTTGCCCTGGAGTGGATTGACTTTAACAGCGTGCTGTGAGGTCAGAGATGGGGCTGACTTTGCAGGCCGGACCTGCTGAACCTTTGGAGCAGGACTCTCTGACACTTTGTTCTGCACTGCTTGCTTAATGATCTTCTTTTGTTGTCCCTGAAATGTTACATTGGTTACAGCAGTTTGCAGAGGGGGGATATTTTGTGGAGAGGTTGCTGCCTCGGACTTCTTAGGAGTCAGTCTAGTTTTCACATTTGGCTGCGCCTGCGCAGTGGGGGGAGGCAGAATCTGGCTGATGCTATTTTCTGACTTTACAGTCTGTTTGTCCATCTCAAGCTGGCTTTGCTGGGCACTGCTAGCTTGCTGCTGCTGCTGCTGCTGCTGAGTCTTTGCAGAAGCTCCTTTTTCCTGGCTCCAGCCTGCTGTTGGCGACGCAGTTCCTTCTGCTTTAAAATTTCTTCTCGCAAACGTTTCTGTTCTTCGATTTTTAAGCGGTATTTCCTGGTCTCTTCGTCTTCATCAGGGAACTTTAAGGGAAAGAAAACATATGCCTTTTTACCTCAGTAATAATAGCTCATTTCTGTGATCACTGACTATGATACTACCATTTCTCTCTGGACACAAATGGATTGTGATTAGTAGTATGGACACGCACAGAAACAGTTTTTAGCCCTTCATAAACACAGGATGAAACTATGGGGATAACAGAGAGCCTTTCTGTCAGATCGCTTTATCTCGTTCTCTGCTGACAAACTAACAAAAGGTAGTGAGGTAAATGACCTGAAAAGGTTTCATTAGAACTATTGATTTTTCTTACACAATTTTAAAGCTTGATCTCAAACTCATTTGTCACACAATAATTGCTTATAATGAACACCACAAGCCAAGTGGCTGACCTTGAACTTGAGCGCCCTCTCAAGAATCAAAATGTCGTCAACTGCAAAGCTGGAATATTAATGGTAAACTGCAAAGACTTATTATTCTGTGCTCATGTCTCCTCTGGATGAAAATAATAAGCATCAAATAACCTTTTTTTCGGTCTGGGAACTCTAATAAGGAACCATCTTCACTCTACAGTAATACAGTTTATTAATAGGAGGCCAGAGTGACTGATGGCTAATGATGAAAGCACACCACATTCTTACATCTGTGACTTAATTGACTTGCCTTTTTCATAGTACCTAAAGGTACTACGAAGACCGGCAAAGTAGAGGTGTAATGGCTAAGCACAGTTATTGAACAACTACTTACAGAATTGTGTCGGGAACCTCCCCCTCAATCAGAGCTTCCCCCACATGCTGAATTCACATGGCAGGTCTCACTGACCACTAGTTATGCTATTTATTCAATAATTCTTTATTAGGGATTGACAATTTGTTTTACATCTTAACAGAATGTCAAGTTAAAAAAAATAAAAAGACAATAAGGAGCAAGGGAAGGTATACTGGTTATAATACAAAAGCTGAAAAAGGAATGAGATTACAACTGAAAATATGTTGACTCCCTGGTTTCATGGTTCCTGAGTTTTAACCAGCTGCATTACAAAAAAACTTGAGTGAGACTATTTCCCTGGTGCTAGACTCCCACGTAGCTTTCTGGGCGGCCAACTCCATGGTCCCAACTTACATGAGCAATGTGGGGCTCACAGCCTCTGCTGCTGGTCTAAATGCATGCCAGCATAGGCCCACCCCCTTCCCCAGTGCCATGAGACCATAACCCATTAGAGTCGGCACTTCGTAATGAGTCATCTTCCGCCAGAAGGGACAAACAATGCTACCTTCCGGCAGTTGCAGCTGTCAATCATCCAATGGTGTAGGATGACGCCACAGCCAAAGACTCCCACCAACTCGTTCAATGCACTCACCACTTACCCTCACCAGGTAAGACAGGGAAGATGGCTTCAGATTTCTCCCACGCTATGAAGGGTGTCTGCTGGCCTTAAAAGGAAGTCACAGCAAAAAGATTCTTTCCAGGGCCACACGCTCGGACTAGAATTCCTTGAGCTAGGGCCCTCTACCATGAATAAAAACTCATTTTAAAAAAAGGTTCCTTAAGACAACGTATCTCCACTGGCCAGAGAAAAAACAATAACTGAAGGGGATACCAGAAGCTGGTCCTCTTGGCAATGTATTTCCTGCCTACCTGGAGGTGGAGCCATATCTCAAGGGGGCTGTCCTGGAAGACAGCTGGAGGGGAAAAAAGCAAGCTTGAGTGAGACTTGATTCCCCTTGCAACAGCCTCAATGGGAAAAGAGTAATTTCTCAATCTAAAAGTTCTAAAAGACAAGAATCTGCTAGAGGATTCAAGCCATTGTGTTTTCCAAAATCTATTATTTTGGATGAACATATCCTTTAAACCCACCCTATCAAGAAGTTTACAGACACGTGGGAACTGTGCTGTAGTGCATAATTAAACATTGATGGCTAAGCTGCAGTAGAAATGTTATAATTTTCTTTACTAAAGATATATTATTTTCCTTTTGTCATCAACATATGCTCATTTTAGCTATAAGCTGTTAAGTGTATAGTAAGTTGAATTTCAACATAGTAAAACACAACTGAAGAGTAAACCGTGGGTTACAGTTTGGTGGAAAGAAACACTAGGAAAGAAAAAAAAAAAACACTTTGCAAGGGCTGCCACTCACAAGTTTTTATGCAAGCAAAAAGAAATGACCACAAGACAAAAAATGGGTGGGGCCCGCATCTTGTAATTTATGCCAAAATAAGGAATTTACCGAAAAGTCAAAATTCCCATTATCTTACTGTTATAGTACAGGACACAGGGCTTACGTTGATAGACCACAGAATATGCCCAAGCAATAATTAGGGGTGGGAAACATACCAAACCAAACTGCTAGCAGGTCCACAAAAACACAGGTTAAAGAACCAGAACACAAACATCCAGATGACAGCTTGAAGCAACTTGTGGCCAAAAGGTTACACCAGCCGAGGCTTGAACTTGTGAACAAAGGACCAGCTGGTGGCCTTGCATGCTTGATGCTGGAAAGCCCAAGATACCTGTTAAAATGAGTTTTGATAGGAAAAGTAGGAACCCTTGACTCAAGGGCATAGGTCATGGAAATAAGTGGTTTAATCCACCTGGCAATAGTGGAGTTAGAAGCAGAATGTCTTCTACAAGAGCCTTCAGGTAGGACAAAAAAGCATTTAGTCTTGTGAACAGAAGCCATGGCTGCCAAGTAGATGCTGAAAATCCTGACAACATCCAAGAAGTGTTTGGGAAATTGCCCTGGCTTGTTTCGAAGCAGGACAGAAGGGAAGGGAGAACAATATCCTCATTAAGGTTGAAGGGAGAGATCATCTTGCATAAAGAGGGTCTTGGTCTAAAGACCACCTTGTCCCTGTGAAAAACAAGAAATTATTCTTTATAAGAAAAGACTGCCAGCTCAAAAATGTACCTAACAGACATAATGGCCAACAGGAAGGCAGCCTTACTTGTGAGATCTTCCAAGGAAATATTTCTTAACAGCTCACAGAGGAGTCTCTGAAGTACAGAGAGTACCAGGCCGAGATCCCAAGGTGACACAAGGGGACCAAATTGGTGGAATAATGAGCAATTCCCTGAAGAAAAGACTTAAAGGATAGGTTCACCTTTAGTAGCATGTTACACCTGTATTTAGGGACATAGAACATGTTACTAGGCACCCCCTCCACAACCCTGTGACAGCAGGCAGGGGATCATCACTCTTTCAGCTTTCAAACAGAAAGCCCGTATGGAGGTACGTGGGATCCACCGATAGCGGGTGCAATGCTCTGCAGGCTCCTGAGAAAAAACAGGTATAAATGCACTTTTTTTTTTAACCTGTAAATATGTACATTTATTTTTTTTTTATGGTGAACTTAGCCTTTATTTTCTGGAATAGACTGGTAAACACAGGGTACTCCGAGTAAGACACGTCAAGACAAGGTTTGCTAAAAGTTTTACAAATAAAGTGCTGTGCAATCTGAAATAGCCATTGCTAAGTCACGAGGGGTGTGATGCAACACGTTGGGTCAGAGCTACATAATATCACACGCAGCCAGAAATGAGGTTACGTTCTATATGGAAATGCTGCTATTATTTAAGGGGAAAGTGATCCTGGTTTCCATTTCAGAGGTATTATATGCCTGAATGAATTTACGTATGTGAGTGCAATTGTAAATACTTCTTTTAATACATGGAATTTAATACACTAAGAGGTTTCTCTCTCTCGTTCCCTCTATGAGGGAGATTTTATACAGTCTCTTAAAGGCACAGGAGTATTGCTGTTATAAGAGGTGATCCAAATGTCCAAGTGTATGGAGGATTAATGGGAGCAGCAAGAATCCATGTAAGAGATCACAAACGCACACGATTGATCTTCTTTGAGAGGTCACATATCCCTGGTCAGAAGTCCGAGCATGTCTGTCTGCCAGGTTATTTTGGGCCAGTTTGGTGCAGTAAGAACCACTTGTTTCCTCGATCTCTTTTGCAGAGCAATCTAGGCAATATTTGCATCGGGGCATAAAAAGCATAAACTAGTCTAAACTGAGTGCAGGAGAGCATCCAATGCTAGTGTTAGCACTGGTCATTGCCACAAACAGAGGTAACTTGTCCCAAAGACGGTTTCTCTTAGATCTTAAGCCCTGAGAGTGAGATCTAAGAGCCCAGCTTATTTTCTAGAAAATAACCTTTGCTTGGGCTTTGTCTAGAATGAGGCGCAACTGAGAACCTGAAACATCTGAATAGTCTCAGACATTTGCAAATGGGTGCAAAACCGAGGAATCCTTTTGAGGAAGGCCCTCTCGATACCCTGTGACCTGAAAGGTACAAGCACCTTGGTGAATACAGTGGGTACCGAGGATAAGTCAAAAGGTACTGCAGCAAACTGGAGGTGTTTGGTATTCCTATGGACAGAAAGCACTGGTGAGGTGGGTAGATGGGAACATGCAGAAAGCGTCCATAAACATCCAAGAATCTTTTGAACCTATCCTGCTGGACTGACCACTTCCTGGGACAAGAGATGGTTTAGGGTGTTCTGCAAATCTAAGTGTCCTTTAGCTGATTTTTGTTGATTTGAAAAAAGAAAGCAATGAGGGGGTAGCGTTTGGTACTCTATTTTGTACCCTTTTGAAACCAGTGATTGAACTTACACATCTTAGATGTCTGTTACCAAGAGAGAGAGGCAGACTGTAACAGACTTCCCCCTACTTTTTGGGGTGTGTCCCTTCCTTGGGAAGAAAGCACTGGGGAAGACTGTGGATAATGTGTTCCAAGTCTTGCAGCAAAAGGAAGGGCTGAATTTTGTCTTAGCAGTTAAAGTCTGTGAAAGCACTGAGGGGCTCTGCATTTTGAGGATAGAAGGCCCCCCCCCCCCCCCCCCCCAAAGAAGAGGATTTTAAAACCTTCAGCTATGGAAGAAGGGAAAGGGGGAGGGAACATGGAAAAACACACCCTGATCCTCCCAATTCTGCGATATGCAGGGGCCAGAAAACCAATGTTGGCAAATGTCCCATCACCCCAGGAAGTTAGGACACCCCATCACTATGAAGAGCTCTTGGCTGGCTTGGGATGGAGAGGGATGAAAAGAACCTCTCCGAACATAAGGAGCAGCGCAAGACTTTCTTCAGGGGGAAGGGAATACTCTTGCCCACTATAATCTCCTTGATATACTTGCCTGAGGAAGAACCAAACAAATGTTTGCCCTCAAAGACACACATTAACTCTCATTCAGGGGTCAATTACAGAGATTTTCTCTTACTTGTTCTTTCAATAACAACTGAAAGAAAAAAAACAAAAAACTGCAACATGGACAAAGACTGAAATACAAAATGGTAACAGGAATACTAACCTTCCCCTACTCTACTAAAAGTATTTTTATGCCTGCCTGTGTTGCGTTTGGAGAGTTTCTCTCACTTCTGGTCTGGTAAAAAATTGTCAGGTTAGGGGAAAATCTAACTGAACCCCAAGCAGCAGTAATCTGACAGTTTTAATTTTCACCTCGTCTGTCAAAAACTAAGAAAAAAAAGTTTTGGATAGAGAGACACTTTAGTTCCATGTACCTGTTCTTCACTTTTAACTTCTGCCTTTATTGTGCTGGTGATGTTTCCTGGCTTGGCTACTTGTGCATTTTCAGCACTCACTGATCTGGGTTGTGGTGCTGTGGTGGCCACAGGGATTACATGTGCAGCAGGAGCAGAGGTTGCTTTTCTCTTATTCATGTCTATAGAGTGAGACGGTGCTATAGGCAGTTCTCGCAAGTTGCTGTTTCTTGGATGTGCTGCTTGTTGATTGTGAGTCTTGACCATGTTCAGAACTGGTGCACCCTGGAAAAAAAAAAAAGAAAAAAAAAAAAAAAGAGTCTCAAATGTCACTTTTGTTCAATATTCGACATTTGTAAATTATGAATAAAAGAAATCATCACTTACTCAAGAATATTTTTGAAAAACATACAAAAACAGTTTTTATTGCATATTAAAAACATCTTACCTGTCTTTGTTTGAGAGCAGGATGTCGAGGCCCTGGCATTCTATGTGGTAGGTTCTGAGAATTTTGTAAATGTGCTCTAAACGAAGGTGTAGGGGGCATAGGCATTGGGGGCTTTTGTTGTCCTCCAGACAGATGATGTTGATGCAAAGGCTGAAGAGGAGGTTGCATGGGTCCCTGTAAAAAGATGAATAGGCATCACAGACTCTAGAATTACAATATCCAATTTAGCAGTTACTGGTCACTTCCTGTTTAAAAAAAAGCTAGTTACCTAGTTATTATGCTTTGCCAGTGCCTTTAATACTTTGGGCCTATAACAAGTACACAGAGAGCAAGGGTCCTGACTTGCATGCTTGTTTTAGGTCAACAATGCAAAGAATTCAGCCAGAAGTAGCCAGGCAACCATTATTTTTCAAATTATGTCAGCAATAGTAGTCCCCTCAAGTTTCTCACACTACTGGTTTCCGTTAAGGGGCATGACAAGAGGCATGCAGGCATCCAATTAGCTCTATCAGCATCAATACATGTCACGTAAACTTCAAGAACTCTTTGCTAAGGTTTACTACCTGCTTATAAGCACTGCGCCCCAAATGTGAATACAGTGATGACTGAAGGCAGCTTACAAAGAGGGGATGTGGTTTCAACATTGCACTTGAGTTGTTATTATACAGGATTTATATAGCGCCAACAGTTTGCTCAGCGCTTTACAATATAACGGGAGACAATACAGAAACAATACAGTTCAATACAAGAGGGTTAGGAGGGCCCTGCTCCTTGGAGCTTACAATCAAATAAACTGTCACTTTTCTATAACTTAGCAACCAGTTTTGTTTCACAACACCAACTGTTACTAAGTAGTTTGGTGGTAGCTTCAAAAGAGAAAGGAGTGGCAGGGAAAATCTGAAGATGTGGATTATCACTGCATCTAGAAAGGATCTTCTTACATTCTAGAAAGGCAAAGCAACAGTATCTCTTTAAAGTCAGTTCTAGTGACAATAAAAAAAAAAAAAATCTAAAAAAAAAAACATTTAAAAATGTGCATGTGCTATAAAAAAGTGGTAAGCATATTTAACTTAAGGCACAACTCAAGGAAGAGTTTTCCCATCTCCTCCTGAATAATTGACAAATTAGAACCCACTAAAGATTGCCAAAACAAGACAGATTTTCACTGCATCCTGACAGCCTTGAACACACACTGAAGGGTTTTAACACATTTTCACTTAAAAGAAAAAAGTGTGGGATTTAAAAAAAAAAAAAAAAAAAAAAATCATACTCACGTGGGTGAGTATGATCAAAGACTGATAACCACTTAGTTCTCAGTCTTCAGTGAGCAGAGAGCCAGTGACTGTCAGTCACCAGCTGTCTGCTCTGCCCCTCCAGGGCTCACTGGAGCACCAGACTGTGGAGGGGATGTGAGCAGCTGGCTCATGCTCTTAGCAGCAAGCACGCTGAGGTTGAGCTGCCTTCTGCTCAGGTATCTGGGTAGATCCCAACATTAAAGTTGTGTTCCTTCTAGAGTCTGGATCAGCTGAGTGACATCAGCTGACAAAGGACTTTAGCCCACTGTCAGATTAACATGGGTCACAGGAGTGCAGAATGAAGTGTATGCCTGTGACCCATTGAAGTAGGGCCAAAAGAGCTTTGGCTTTACTTCTCTTTTAAATCCAATTTGACTGTGTAACTTGACTTACATTAGTTAAGACATTACTAACATATGGAACAAACCTGCATATTCGACTGACTGTGAAGCATGAAGGGTTGTCCAGGAACGGGTGGAAACGGTTGCCTTGGTGGAGGAAAATGCCTTATATTTGTAGATGGCTGACTGAATGGTGGAATTCCCATTGGCCCTGGAGATGGCAGGTTAATCCGAACAGGTCGCTCTCTTGTAAATCCTGGGTTATTAAATCCTTGCTGAGGTCCAGGGACAGGCTGTGGAAAATTTGGTTGTGGACTAGTTCCTGGTTGGTTGAATCCTGGCTGAGGTCCAGGGTTAGGCTGGGTAAAACTAGGTTGGTTTATACCTGGCGGGTTAAATGGTGGCTGAGCGGCAGACTGGTTGAACCCAGGGGGGGGACCTGATTGGTTAAAGTTTGGCTGATTAAAACTTGGTTGACTGCCGGGTGGGTTAAAACCCAGCCTGTGGACCCGGTGGATTAAAGGTGGGCTGAGGACCAGATGGATTGAAACCTGGCTGTGGCCCTGGCTGGTTGAATCCAGGTTGAGTAAAGCCTGTTTGTGGCCCAGGTGGATTAAAGCCTGCTTGTTGACCAGGTCCAGGAGGATTAAAGTTAGACTGGGGCTGATTAAATCTCGGTTGTGGGCCTGGCTGGTTAAAGTTCTGCCCTGGTGGACTGAATGGTGGTGGGTTCTGAGTGGGAACAGGGAGGTTATTAAGAAGTGGAGGTGGAGGAATTGGAGGAGGATTTCTCTGATCAAATATATGATGATTAGGAAACCGAGGCTCTGCAAGCAAAGGAAAACATATGTTAATTCAACATTTAACAAAACTGACTAAAGCTGTGAAAGAAATAAAATAATTTCAAACATATACAAAAACATAACCATACAAAGCACATCCACAACACTGACAAGAAAAATACAATTTCATGTTATAATCACCGCATTCATAATGTGCTAAATTTATTAAAGGTGGGTAACAGGATCTACCTTAACCTCCTTGGCGGTTTTCCCGAGTGTAGCTCAGGGTTGAATTTCTATACCAAGAACGATAACCCCGAGCTACACTCGGGCTTACCATGCAGCGTTCTCTGGGGGTCCCTGCAGCACTTACCTTGTCCTTCGCTCCCACGATGTGTCCCCTGCAGCGTCCCCGTCCATCTCCTCCGGCGGATGCCGGCATCTGACTTCCGCGTTCCGGTCCCCGTGACGTCGGAACGTTCGGGCGGCGGAACCGGCGGGAAATTTGAAATTTTTAAAAAATGACATTTTTGCTGTCATTGCTTTTTCACTGCATTTCACATAGTTTGTCCTCACTGCTTTGTCCTGTGCCCTGCCTGCATTTTGACTGTTTTTTCTGCCTGGAAACTTAGAAAAGTCCATGGCGGCCAAAAAGCGTCCCTTTACATCAAAAGCGGTTTTAGAACAGCGATAGTAAATCAGAACCACTTGCAGAATAGTGATAATGATTTGTGGGGAAATTCGTCATCAGACACTGAAAACGATTTTGCGACTTTGCTCAGCGATGTGCGAATTTGCCTCTGTATTTCAAATTTCAGTGTTTTTGGTTTGATTATATTATTGAATTAAATTTATTATTATTATATTATTATTTTTTATGATTATTTATTAAATTATAATTTATGATTTCGTGTTTCAAGTTTTATCATATCCGGAATGTTTAATAGACTCTTTTTCGGATAGATTTCAGTGAGTTATTCCTAAAAATTACAGCCTACAATTAAAAACTACATATTTCCATGCAAAAAAATGGTACCGCTTTCAGCACAAAATTCCTGACATGATCATACCGCCAGGGAGGTTAAGCAATACAGGGATGCCTGACAAAGTTTATCCACTGCTCACTCTCAAATAAATTTTACAGTATTAAGGTGATATTTAATTGTACTCCAAATTGTTATTTTTATTTGTGCTGTGCTATCAACTTAAAAGTATGACATTACAATGAAAGACACTACTTAACGATAACTCATTTGCCTCAGCCATTACGAAGTGTATTGCCCTGAAGTTTGACGTCATTTGAACAAAGTTGTCAAAACAGGGCTCATGACTGTCCACTAGCTTATTAAACTATTAACCTATTGATCTACAGTGCCTTGAAAAAGTATTAATACCCTTTGAAATTTTCCACATTTTGTCATGTTACAACCAAAAACTTAAATGCATTTTATTAGAATTTTATGTGATAGACCAACACAAAGTGGCACATAATTGTGAAGTGGAAGGAAAATGCTAAATGGTTTTCAACATGTTTTACAAATAAATATCTGAAAAGTGTGGCGTGCCTTTGTATTCAGCCCACCTGAGTCAATACTTTGTAGAACCACCTTTCGCTGCAATTAAAGTCTTTTTGGGGATGTCTCTACCAGCTTTGCACATCTACAGAGTGAGATTTTTACCCATTCTTCTTTGCAAAATAGCTCAAGCTCTGTCAATGCCACAGATTCTCAATTGGATTTAGGTCTGGACTTTGACTGGGCCATTCTAACACATTATATGCTTTGATCTAAACCATTCCATTGTAGTTCTGGCTGTATGTTTAGGGTCGTTGTCCTGTTGGAAGGTGAACCTAAGCCCCAGTCTCAAGTCTTTTGAGGATTAACAGGCTTTCTTCTAAGATTTCCCTGTATTTGGCTCCATCCATCTTCAAATCAATGCTGACCAGCTTCCCTGTACCGGCTGAAGAAAAGCATCCCCACAACATGATGCTGTGCCACCACCATGTTTCATGGTGGGGATGGTGTGTTCAGGGTGATGAGCAGTGTTAGTTTTCCTCCATAGCGTTTTTCTTTTAGTCCAAAAAGTTTTTTTTTGGTCTCATCTGACTAGAGCACCTTCTTTAACACATTTGCTGTGTACTCCACATGGCTACTTGTAAACTGCAAACAGGACTTCTTATGGCTTTCAACAATGGCTTTCTTCTTGCCACTATTCCATAAAGAATGGATTTGTGGAGTGCACAACTAATAGTTATCCTGTGGATAGATTCTCCCACCTGAGCTGTGGATCTCTGCAGCTCCTCCAGATTTACCATGGACCTCTTGGTTGCTTCCCTGACTAATGCTCTCCTTGCCCAGCCTGTCAGTTTAGGTGGACAGCCATGTCTTGTTAGGTTTGCAGTTGTGCCATACTATTTCCATTTTTGGATGATGGATTGAACAGTGCTCCGTGAGATGTGCAAAGCTTGGGATATTTTTTTTGTTTTTTTATAATCTAACCCTGGTTTACACTTCTCCACAACTTTATCCCTGACCTGTCTGATGTGTTCCTTGGCCTTCTTGATGCTGTTTGTGCACTAATATTCTTTAAAAAACCTCTGAAGGCTTCGCAGAACAGCTGTATTTATACTGAGTTTAAACTACACACATTTAATTTACTAATTAGGCTCCACTAGATTTTAGTTAGGGGTATCAGAGTAAAAGGGGGCTGAATACAAATGCACGAGACACTTTTCAGATATTTGTAAAAATATTTTAAAACCATTTATCATTTTCCTTCCACTTCACAATTATGTGCCACTGTGTTGGTCTATCACATAAAATCCCAATAAAATACATTTACGTTTTTGATTGTAACATGACAAAATGTGAAAAATTTCAAGGGGCATGAATACTTTTTCAAGGCACTGTACATCCCTTACAATATGCCACACTACAACCACAGCCAAACACACAGACTTTTTATGCACACTTCACAAAAGGCTTTGAGAGCTCAACTAGGTTTGACAACTATCCACAAAAAATACCCTGTTGCAGATGGTTACCCATGGTTGCCCCATCATTGATTAAGCACCTACAGCAAGAAATAATTATTTCAGGAGTAGAAACCATTCTCCAGGGTCCAGATGCTGCTAGCCAAGCAATTAAAAAAAAACAAAGGGGCGAGCACCACCAGGCTACAGGCATAATTTAATGTCTATAAAGATGAATGACAGATCGCACAGGAGAAGAAAAACCACCTGAAGGGGCACATACTGTAAATATACAACACTCCAAAGAGTTCTTGTGTGTGATAACTGAAACACTTGAGGTACTTTACCCTGGAGATAGAAGTGGTCTCGTGTGAAAGAGTAGAAAGGGGTGCCAAGCGGAACAATAAAAACATCAAATTATTAAAACCGACAATTGGACAAGGAAAAAATAAAATATGGATACTTGCATATGACAAAGAGTGTCCGCATGGCTCCAAATGGATGTGTCTCCCACTGTGTCATCGGCAGCAGCTGATGGCTCTGTGTAGGTGAACTGACTTGCAGACCAAGAAGCATCCAGAGCCACCCTGGATTGCATAAAACATCTGTAGAGGACAGTCCTGGTGGAAATGGGGCGTGGCTGCGAGTTTCTCAGGCCATAGTGACAAGTGTGAAGACACTTCCTGGTCAACAAGTCAGAGTAACCTAGAGTGGGCAGCTGCTGCTGATGACACAGAGGGAGACGCATCCATTAGGAACCATGCAAACACTTTATGATATGCAATCATACATTTTTTTTGTCCAGTGCATTGCTGATTGTCTGTTTTAATAAACTGGCGTTTTTAATGCTATACTTAATGGCACCGCTTTCTACTCTTTTAGCTGAGGATTTACACCTCTTGATTTCCACATGATGAAAAAGGCTGCCTAGAACAGGATCGGCTTTACCTCTCTTGCCACAGCAAAACTTTTGGTTCCTCAATGAGGGCCCATGTACACTACTGCATTATCTGATTAAATCTGCATAGCATGACCCTCAAATTAGGTGGTTCCAACACTAATGGGACAACCATATAGTTCAAAGCTCCAGGATTTTTATTGGGGGGTGGTGGTCCCCTGATGACCACGTTTCCTACACCAACAAGGTGCCCGGACTCCCCTTTAGCCCAGACAGCTGGTATCCATTTTAAGATTCTTCCAAAAGACAGGAAGAAGCAACTAGGATGGTCTGGTCCTTATCAACGGACAACCAACAGAATCTTGCATTACAGATATCTGGAGTAAATGTACAGTAGGTCCATCAAGGATCAACAGACCCGATTCAGCCGACCACTGTATCCAGAGAAGCTTGGACGTCCACTCGGTAGAACTTGGAGAAGGTGGAAACTGAAGGTATTGGAATTCCCAGGAAACACCCACTGATCTGGTGAGTGAGCAGGCAAGTGCTGGAGCTTAGAATGTAAGCTCTTGTGGCATTTTCTACCTGGTAATAATACATTTTGAAGCAGGATGTCCTTTGTGAGGCCATGGCGACAAGACAGAGTCTTTCTTATAAAAGCGGTGGCTATTACATAAATGCTGATAGCTCTGCCAACATCCAGACAATGAAGATCAATTTGTCTGGGGTGCATAGCAACAGGGCACAAAAGTGGGAAGAACTATATCTTCGTTGAGGTGAAAGTTGGATACCACCTTAGGCAGAAGGTAGGTCTTGGGAGCAACACTAGTCTTTGTGAAGGATCAGGTATGGCTCCTTACAAGAAACGCTAGTACTACTAGTTCAGAGACACTTATGACAGACATGATAGCCACTAAAAAGGCTACTTTGCAGGAAATATCCGAAGATCATTCTCAGACGGGTTCACCTGCAGATTCTGCAAGGCAGAGAAACCAAGTTAAGATCCCGAGGAATCACAAGGTGCCGTAAAGGAGGTCTAATCTGACAAACACATTTTTCTTTGTTTTTGGAACAAGTTGGACAAGGCTGAAACCTGTCCCTTACGAGTACTTAACACCAAATTCTGATCAAGACCTAACTGTAGGAGGGCAGAATGGGAGGAACAGAGAAATCCCT